ATCGTTTGTAATTAATCATATATTCCAGAAATAAATAACATGCATAATAATAATAATAATACCATAAATTTGTATATTATATATTCGAAAACTTTATAAAATATCATAACATTAATGATTAGTTATTGTAACCTTGAACGTTATAAAAATGAATATATCCTATTAAATGTAAAGAAAATAAAGAAAACAGATTTAATATTTGATAATTATCTCGTTCTAACTTTGATCTAGAATACAAACAATCCTGTTTTTCATGCGTTAAGTATCACGTGAATATGAAGGATATTTAAGTTCATTGAAAGAATTCTGAAACATTATGATAAAAAATTTAAGTATAATTCATTATCTAAAGTATTTAAGTAAACTTTTCTTCAGATTTCATTAAAATTTTAATGATGTATACTATGTTTTTGTCATTTGTTAGTCAATCTTCTGACAGAATTTGTATAATTTTCGCATGAGAACCAAAGGATAATGAATTCTTTCTCCATTAGTTGTAATGTTTGTTATAATTTAAAGGCTTCAAATTTAAATAAAAATGTTTCTTAATGTTTTTGACATCGTCGATAATTGCTTCATTAAAAGATACACGGTTTTTCCCTTAATAATAATTGATTTTCAATGTAAAAAGGTACCATAGTATTCTTTTTGAAATCTGGTTAATGATTAATTAATAGTGTGTGTACAGTACATATCGTTTCTTTCTTTTGACTATTTCTTTTCGTAATATATAAACTGTGAAAGAAGCTATTAAAAATTGATCATTCACAATTTTTCATTAAAAAGAAAATTTTGTAATTAAAATTTTTAATCATTTAGAAAGTAAATTATTGTAAAAATTTACTAAACTTTCTCATGGAAACAAAAATTGATAAGATATTTGTAACGTCAGCAGACCCTGCCGTAGTTACTAATATTTCGGCATCAACTGAAGCTAAAGAGGAAGATAGCATTAAGTTGGAATGTTCGTTTGATGGAAATCCACTACCCGAAAATGTTATCAGTTGGAGAAAAAATGGAATTCATCAAATGCAATATCTATTGGAAGGGAAGAAATCTTATTTACTTATAAACAATATCAGTAGAAATGATTCTGGTGAATATTCATGTATCGCTAACAATGGAATGGGAAAAGAATCAATAAAAACAGTCACATTATCTGTACTACGTAAGTAAGACGCATTTATAAAAATATTGATTTTCATCTTTTCATTGTTTAAACTGTTAATAAAAAATATTTTATCATGAAATTTCCCAAAATATTTTAATCTCGTAAGGAAACTTACATTTGCATGAAATTTATTTTATGATGATCCATTTAATTTTATTAGTTATTAAATTACATTTATACATTACTAGCATTATCTGTAATGTGATCACTGTCGTTTAAATGCTTTAATCGAATTTCAAAACATTTCGTCTGAATGTAATTTATATTTAAAATAATCTTTAGTGAAATATTCGCTGCACAAAAGTACTATTCATTGCAGGCTTCTAGTTCACGCTCATAGCAGCTATCGATTTTTAAAGAACTTTCTACAAAATGGAAAACTATGGAGCCTAATAATGACAATCTATATACGTCTNATATTAAAAACTTATAAATAAAACATTTAATTTTAATAGTTTGAGCTGGCAAAACTAATTTTTATATTATTTATTTAAGTTTTATATTATGTTACGTATAACTTTAAATGCTATAAATTTCTTTTTCAGTCTAAATTAATGTTAATTTATCTTAATATTACGATTTTAGTATTTATTACACTTTTTCAAACTTTTCAATTTATATTTTTTTATAACGTTCAGTAATTTCGTAGCTTATAAATAAATAACTTAATTTTAATAATTCAAACACATTAGTTGTAAAAGTTATAATGTAAAAAGATGTATAATTAAGGTATTATATAAATGTTTATTGTATACTTATTATACTATTTTAAATCTTATTCTATATATACATAAACGATTTATAATTATTAATGCTCAGATATAAATAAATGCATGCTAATTTATATCATCTACATGACCAGATAGGCCAATAATTCGACGTTTTCAAATGAAATCAAAAGTTGCAAGCGATCTGAAAGGCATTGCAAAATTTCGATGCATCGCTGATGCACCTTCGTCTTCAAATACATCCATTAATTGGTCGTACAAAGAAGAGTTGATAGAGAAAAGTACCAAATACGAATTAGTAAATTCTGTAAAAAACTCATCTTGGGAAAGTACATTGTTAGTAAAAAGATTAGAAGAATCGGATTTTGATTATTACAGTTGCATTGCAATTAACTTCCTAGGAAAAGACACTTTTCAATTCTTATTAGTAAAAAGAGGTATTTTTTTTACTAATTCTGTTTCTTTCATAACACAAAATTATAGTAATAAAATATTATTTTCCTAAAATATTTCATTAGATTTATTTTCTCAGATTGTTCAGCTAATTAAATTTCGTTTTATTTAAGACAATAATTTAATTTTATATCCTAATGCAAATAATTGTAAAGTGTGTTTCTAATATAAGAATTCATATGACAGGTCCTCCAGAAACACCTGTAGATTTACAAGCATTCAACGTTAGTAACAACTACATATTTATTACCTGGAAACCAGGTTTTGATGGTGGCTACGTTCCTTCTTTTCGAATCAGGTATAAGCAACTGGGAGTTGAAAAATATTTCTTTCAAGATGCCACAACAATGAAACATCAACACAAAATTATCGATTTGAAACCAGGAACTGATTACTTTATTGCTGTTTCTGCGTGGAATGATGTAGGGCATAGTAATTTTACCTCTGAAATAAAAGTCAGCACTACAGGTATGGGTACGATTATGGTATAATATTAAATTATCGCATCTACAATACGCATTCTATTAATTAACATATAGTCTATTATATTAAATTATATATCTGTATATTAAAGTAAATTAATTCAAATTAGTATATTTGAATTCAATCCAGATTCCCATAAATTACTACGGATATGTGACATGTGTGGGCAGTGGCCAAGGAGCCCTAGCACTGTCCAAAGGAAAAAGAACATTGAAAAATTTTCCAAAAATATTTTCCTAATTAAAATTCATTTCTGTATTTATATTGTATCGTGTCTTCTATTTCTATACTACTTATCATCACATAAGTTGGGAATTTTATTGAATTCCGCATTAAAATGTTTTTATCTGTTCAACTCGGCTTCTCCCCATCCTGATTCTTCACTTACCTTAACCAACATTGTTGTATATCAGATTTGCGAAGTAATGGCTAAAATAGTTGTTAATATCTAGTATTAACAATCATCAACAAAGTTATTAAAAAATTTAAATAATATTTCAAATCAAACAAAACACCTATGTATTTTTTTTTTTATTTTAAATCTACATGAATATATTTTTTTGATTTATATATACAGTATATTTAATGACTCAAAGAATCAATATAAAATTTTAAGTACAATTAAAATCTGTATCGGTTTAAAAATAAATTAATTTACAAACGGAAGTAATCTGAAAATCTTAATATTTATTAATTAAAGTAACATAATATAAAATAATTTGTTGTTTTTTTTTCTAGATATAGCAGTTATGGATTCTCTAGTACCTGTCACTGGGAAGAAGAGCAAAAAGTTATCAGGAACTTCAAAGTGGTGGTGGATATGTGTTACAATTGTCGGAACTCTCCTGGTGTTAGTTAATGTGATAGTTGTGATCTGTCTGATTCACAAGGGTAAATGCTGTCTCAGATCGATCGAAGGTAAGTGAGAAAAACAATATTGTTTCAACATCTGACCTGGACTGATCCAATTGCTATGGATTACTTCAGCATATTTTCTAAGATTTCATTTAATTTAATGCCACTTTTAACCTTGATTAAAAGTTGTTTCTATTATTACAGTTAGAATTACATAAATAAATAGTTATTTAACCGCAATGAGGAGAGAAATAAAATTATAAATATATAAATTAACTTATAGTGTAGTTTTTACATAACGGCTCAACACATATTTTTAAAAGCTATTTATTAAACTTCATCCTGTAAATGAATTTACATATTTAGTTAGGTAATTGAATTAATTTAATTTGATAATTGAAATAATAAGAAGTAAAGTTAATTATAATGAGCTATTATAATTAACTTCATAATAATGTAATTCTAACATATGCTTTTAATTATTCGTTATTACTTAATAAAAATATTTTAAAATATTTTATTTATTATTTTATTAGATTTTAAAACAAGAATAATAAGTAAGTTTGAAAAAATAAGTCACTTTTCCTTCAGTTAAAACGAGTTAAAGAATAAATCAACTGTAAAAGTTTAAGGATACAACAATATTTAAAGCAGATTTATTTTAAATAATGTTTCAGAAAATATAACAATACTTTGTTACTCTTAAGAATGCTTACAAATATTAAAAACCATTCTAACGAAACATTCAAGATTTTTTCGGCTGAAGGATATTGAGAACTATGAAAGTTAGATTTTGATGAAAAATATAATCAAAATGTAACTTTCTTATTAATTGAATATATTATTTCTAAATTAATAATTTAAATTTCACAATATGCACGTATTTTAACAAAAATTTATAGATTGTAAAATCTCAAGAAAGAAAAGTTTAAAAGCGTTTAATATCGAAATTTAATATTTTGAAATGACAAAGAAAAAATATCGCCAGATTACATCCGAAAAGCTTTAATAATCAATAAAGAAAATAATTTAAAACTCTGACTGAAAATTAAGCGTCAAATAAAATTTAGAGATTTTGTAAATTGTTTTGTCTTGTTATTAGAAAAATAAATCGATATATGATGAAGAATTTAAAATCAGAGAAAATTATAGCATAAAATTTTCGTTTATCATCACATTTTTAATCACTTCTTTTAGGTTAAAGAAAAGTTAGTTTGCAAGGTTAAAGAAAGAAT